CACCTGAGAGGATCAAGTGGATAGGATAAGGAATATCTCATTGTGCTTGTATGAACTGATGGTTGAGGACTTAACTGTGCAGATGGATGGCACTGAAGATCATCAGCCTACCCTGCAAGACAACTGCTACCACCCAAGCTCAAGCTCGCCCATTTAGACACAGCTCTATAGAAATCTCTAGGTCTCTGACCGACTGTGGTTATGTTTGAGCAATGAAGGGATTGGGGGCTCAAAATAGAAATTGTCAAAAAGGAAGAAAGTATTACACACTAAGCCAGTTGGTCCATTTCTTTCCCAAGGACTAGCCCTGCATTCCAGGAGGGTACTGTCAGACCACAAAATACCCACTGCCTTACATCTTTCTCAGGAAATGGATGCCAGAATGCCTCATGTTTACGTGACTCATCCTTGCACCATGAGCCCATATGCTCAACTGACCACTGGACACTTTTTACTTAGTTGTCTCAAAGGCATCATATACTCAATTTATCCCAAATCAGCTCTCTTCAGTGTGCTCTTTCTCAGTGAATGATACTCTTTCTAACCATGACATAATCCAGCAACCTGGTCCTGGTCCTGGAGAGACCCTTCTCTATCACCACCACAACTCAGACTCAACACCTTACACAGGTTCCATTGTGTCAAATAATTAACAAGGTGACAAAGTCCATGTGAGCTGACTGCTGTGTTTTTACACAACCTCACTTTGAACAATGCTTTTCTCACTTGCTACACCCCACATACAATGGTTTCCTTTCCTTATTCAACAAGAAAAGTCCTTATGGACAAAGGACCCTTGGAGATCTTCAGTTTCTTCCTGGAACCTTGTTCTTCACATTCTCAGTAGTCAATTCTTACATCTGAAATTTTACTCTTTATTCCCAATCCCGTGAACCAATTGCAGGCCCTATTTGTGGCCTGAAAGTACTACGTATTGTCGATTCATAGGAATAACCACAAAGGCACTGCTGATTTGTTTTGAAATTTTTATTACTCTCTGCTTTTCCCATTAGTTTGTCAACCCAATGCACAATGGGAACAATTCTGTAAACTCTTTTTATCAACATTGACTCAGATTCATGCTTTACAACCTGTAAGTTATTGGATGACTTCAGAAGTCTGTTCAGGTGCATCTTCGCTGAACAATAACAACAGGTATAACACTTTGAGGGCTCACTCAATGGCAGGCATGATTTGAAGAGCTCATTCCATGTGCTGGTTTATTTAACTCTTACAACAACAACCCTGTGAAGAAGTGTTGTAACCATTTTTGGTTTATTGAATGGGAAATAGGCACAAGCCCTACACAGCAGGCAAAAACTTCCGACCCAGTGCTCTCCCTGCCGTCATCACTACCCTGGGAAATCTATTCCATGAATTGAACTCTGGTTCCACCAAAGAGAGGCCACTAATGATACTCTATGGATGATGATCTTATTACACAGCAGACCCATAGAATGGCAGATGTCCTAAACAGCACTCTGGCCTCAGAATCAGCCCTTAAGGCATTCGGATCTGGCTGAAAAGCCCATGAGAGTATTTCAGGCATGGAAAGCCAAGACACTCTGGCCAAAAAAAAAAAAAAAATACACTAGAAGAACCGTCCACCACCACCACCACCAAAAAACACCTAAATGAAAGAACTCCGCGAATGAAATCCCAGTGGAAAGAACAGGTCATCAAAGAAGGAGGTACCTTTCTCTGAAGGGAGGAGAGAACTTCCACTTTGACTACGACCTTGTCTAAATACGATCAGAGTCGGTGAACTCAAAAGGCTTCCATAGCCTTGGCAAGTCATGACAAGAGCCTAGGGTGATTACTGATGCCATAAACAAGAGTGTCAATTTGTTAAGTCAACAACAGGAGTCACTGTGCACTTACTCCTCATGTAGGATCTTTGTCCTTAGTGTGCTGTACATTGAGATTTAATGCTATAACTAGTACTCAAACAGTATTTTTCACTTTATGTTTCTATGTGGGTGCAAACTGTTGAAATCTTTACTTAATAAATGCTAAACTGATCTTCTGTATATAAAGAGAATTGAAAATGAATCTTAGGCCGCCGCCGCGGCTCACTAGGCTAATCCTCCACCTTGCGGCGCTGGCACACTGGGTTCTAGTCCCGGTTGGGGCGCCGGATTCTGTCCCGGTTGCCCCTCTTCCAGGCTAGCTCTCTTCTGTGGCCAGGGAGTGCAGTGGAGGATGGCCCAAGTGCTTGGGCCCTGCACCCCATGGGAGACCATGATAAGTACCTGGCTCCTGCCATTGGATCAGCGCAGTGCGCTGGCCACAGCACACAGGCCGCGGTGGCCATTGGAGGGTGAACCAATGGCAAAAGGAAGACCTTTCTCTCTGTCTCTCTCTCTCACTGTCCACTCTGCCCATCAAAAAAAAATGAATCTTGATGTGAATGGAAGGGGAGAGGGAGAGGGAAAGGGGAGGGTTGCAGGTGGGAGGGAAGTTATGGGGAGGGGGAGCCATTGTAATCCATAAGCTGTACTTTGGAAATTTATATTCATTAAATAAAAGTTAAAAAATAAAAAGGTTGCTTGTTTTATTCATTTTTTAAATAATATTTTTTAAGATTTATTTTTTATTTATTTGAAAGGCAGAATTAGAGAGGGAGAGAGAGAGAGAGTCCTGAAATGGCCACAATGGCGAGGGCTGGGCCAGACCAAAGTCAGGAGCAAGGAGCTTCTTTCAGGTCTCCCAAGCAGGTGGCAGGGACCCAAGCTCTTGAGCCATCCTCCACTGCTTTTGCCATGTTATTAGTTGGGAGTTGGACTGAAAGTAGAACAGAGACCACTACTGTGGTTCAGCAGGTTGATCCTCCACCTGCAGTGCTGGCATTCCATATGAGCACCAGTTCGCGTCCCAACTGCTCCTCTTCGATCCAGCTTTCTGCTGATGGCCTGGGAAACAGTAGAAGATGACACAAGTGCTTGTGCTCCTGTACCTGCGTGGAAAACCCAGAAGAAGCTCCTGGCTTTTGGCTTTGGATTGGTCCAGCTCCAGCCATTGTGGCCAATCGGGGAGTGAACCAGTGGATGGAAGACCTTTATCTCTGTCTCTCCCTCTCACCATCTGTAACTCTACCTCTCAAATAAAGAAATAAAATCTAAAAAAAAGTGGGGCAGCAGGACTCAAACCAGTGCCAGTATGAGATATCATGATCCCAGGTGATAGCTTTACTGGCTATGCCACAACGCCAGCCCCAATGATGATCTTTTAAAGATTTATTTATTTATTTGAAATGCAGAGCAACAGACAGAGGGGGAGAGACACACACACACACACACTTCTGCTAGATCACTCCCCAAAAGCAGCCAAGTCTGAGCCAAGCTGAAGCTAGAAACTAGGAACTCAGTCCAGGTCTTCCTCATGGATGGCTCAGACTCAGGTACTTTGGTCATCTTCTGCTCCCTTCCCAAGTACATTAGCAGGAAGCTAGATTGGAAGTGGAGCAACCAGTGGTACTGGTACTCTTATATGGGATATTGGTGCACTCTGATATAAGAATGGTCATTCTTCTTGGTTTCTCTAAATGAAAAATGGCTAAATGAGCCAGTTCCCTGGAAGGGATTACCAATACCTCTTACTCCCTTCTGTTTTGTTTCAAAGCCCCAGTACCTATTTACTAGGGCTACTATAAAAAAAAATAACAGAACCTGAGTGGTTAAAAACCAGAAATTTCTTGTTCAAGAAATTAGAGGTTGTAAGTCCATTATCAAGGTGTCTGATGAGGGGCTGACACTGTGGCACAGCGGGTTAAGCCACAGCTTCTGATGCTGTAATCCCATATGAGTGCTAATTCAAATCCCAGCTGCTTCACTTCCAGTCCATTTCCCTGATAATGAGCCTGGGAAAGCAGCTGAAGATGAAGCATTTGGGCACCTGCCACCCACTTGTGAATCCTGGATGGAGTTCTGTGTTTCTGGTTTCCACTTGGTTCAGCCCAATTGCAGCTGACTGGGGAGTGAACCAGCCAGATGGAAGATCTCTCTCATTCTCTCTCTCTCTCTCTCTCTCTCTCTCTCTCTCTCTTTCGGTCTGTGTGTGTGCATTTATGCGTGTGTGTGTGTGAATTCTCTCTCTGTGGCTCTGCCTTTCAAATAAATACATCTTTTATTTAAGCGTCTGAAGAATTTGGGAGAATCTGTTCCCTCCTGCTATCCTGGTTTCTGATGATTGCTGACAATCTCTGATGTGGTAAATGTATGGCCCTGATGCTGCTTTTATGCTCATATGGTGTTCTCCCCGTGCATTCTCCCTGTACGCATTTCTGTCCCTCTGTATCCAAATTTATGTTAGATCAGAGCCCACATGATGACCTCATCTTCATTAATTGCATCTGTAATGACCTTATTCCCAAGTGTCACATGCCAGGGTACTAAGGGTAAGCACTACAACCTAGGAATTTGGGGCATACAACTAAAACACTAGATCAGCTCCTTTGATCTTCCAGCAAGCCAGGTAATTTACTTGCTGATTTTCACCTGTTGTTAGTGTTTGTTGCTTTTGTTTTCATCTCTGGGGTCTGCCTTTGTCTAGAATGTCAGCTCTTCGGGACAAGAATGTCTTATTTTTGTCTCTTGATGTATGCTGAACCCCTGAAATGCAACTTGGATCATCTGAGGCCATAAGTGAAATATTTTTAAGGTACTAAAGGAATCATCAAGGACAAAACAAGTATGATGTCAGAAGGGTGTTTCTGTTCTTCCCGCAGTGTGCTTTGGGGTTGCACAGAAATGCTGCAACTAGAAATAACCTTTGCAAGCAATGGTAAACAAACCCACATAAGATGGTTTAGGGGCAGGAGACGTGAGACGGGGGAATGGCAATTTACAATCTTGGTTTGTTTTCCTCTTCTCATTCTTAGAAGTTCTTCCCCTCCATCTCATCAGTCTGGTTTTTTGTTTGTTCATTTTCTTTTGTTGTTGTTGTTTTAGAATAAGCGGTTGCTTCCCAATCTCTAATTTTGTGACTTTGCATCTTGCCAGGTGGCCCTTTTAGTCTGCTCCTATGAGCAGCTGACCTCTGGATTTTGTTTAAAGTGTCCAACTCCAGAATTTTACTTTCTGGGTTGACAAGGAAATACGCTGAAGGATATTTGGTGAGAATCACAGGACAAGACAACCCAGATGGCATCTTCAGAGAAACATTTCTGTTGAAACCTCTCCAAAAGATCAAAATCATTGTTCTTCACCATCTTCCAGTTTCTCTGTGTCCCTCTCCCAACCATCACAGTTGCTCAGGAGGGTGGCCCACCCATACAACCATTGTACCACAGGAAGCTTTTGAACAAGTCATGTTTATTAAGGCATAATTTAGATATGATAAACTACAGCTGGATCAGTTTTTGACAAATGCGTATAGACCTGAAGCCATCACCACAATCTAGGTACTGGTACTCTATTTCCATAACTTTGTGAATGATCAAACATGGGAAGTGAGATACAGAGCAGACCCATAGAATGGCAGATGTCCTAAACAGCACTCTGGCCTCAGAATCAGCCCTTAAGGCATGCAGATCCGGCTGAAAAGCCCATGAGAGTATTTCAGGCATGGAAGCCAAGACACCCTGGGGGAAAAAAAAAAAAAGAACACCTAAATGAAAGATCTCTGCGAGTGAGATCCCAGTGGAAAGAATGGGCCATCAAAGAAGGAGGTACCTTTCTCTGAAGGGAGGAGAGAACTCCAC